CATGCGGGGGAAGAGAGACAAACCTGCGAAAGTTAATTTCATTGTGTAACGGGGGGGTGGGAAGGAAAGAGATAAAACACGTTTAGAAGAAGGCAAAAAGGCGGCAGCCGTGAGCGGGTCGGAGACAATAATTCGGAGTTTGCCGAGCAGACATCCGGGTGTCTCACCGAGGGTAACGGTCCCCTCAGGCCGGGGTCTGCCGGGGCCACGGGGGCCCGGAGAGCCGGGGGGCTGCGAGGGCTCCCACCGCTGGAGGGGCTGGCGAGGGTGGGGAAAGGGGCTGGCAAGGGGCTGCGATGGGGCTGGGGGGTCTTAGGGGTGATAATGGCCATGGGGCTGGTGGGGTTGCAGGCTCTGGGGGAGGCTCTGAGAACCGGGGGGAGGCTTTGAGGGGGCTGTGTGGGGGATCTGATGGCCCGGGGGGGGGGCGGTTCTGTGGGGCAGTGATGGCCATGGGGCTGTGAGAGCTACAGGGAAAGCTGCGGGGGCTCTGATGGCCATGAGCGCTGCGAGAGGGCTCTGAGAGGCCGGGGGGCTGTGGTGGCCGGGGGATCTGAGCAGCTCCGAGAGCCGTGGGGGTGAGGCAAAGGACGGGCTGAAGGTCTGTGGAGCGCTGCGAGCGGGCTCCGATGGCCGTGATGGGGGCGAGCGCTGTGCGGCACCGGCGGACGCGACCCCCGCGGGGGGCACGGGCGCGGCCGGTCCGCACCGAGCGCGGCAGAGCCGAGCGCGGCGGGCACCCCCTTCCCCATCGGACGGTACCTGGATGGATGGATGGATGGACAGACGGCCGGACAGGCGGATGGAGGTCGGTCGGTGCCGGTGCCGGTGCCGCCTTTCTCCGGCGGCTCAGCCCGGCCCGCGAACGGCGGGAGGCGCCGCCCCCGCCCCTGTGTGGGGAACGGGGGATGGGGGCGCTGCGCCTGCGCGGGGCCGCCTCAGGCGGCGGCGGGCGGGGAGGGAGCGCGGTCAGCCCCGGTGAGGGGAGAAGGGGCGAGCGAGAGGAAAAGGGGCGAGTGAAGGGAAAAGGGGCGAGCGAGGGGAAAAGGGGCGAGCGAAGGGAAAAGGGGCGAGCGAGGGGAAAAGGGGCGAGCGAGGGGAAAAGGGGCGAGCGAGGGGAAAAGGGGCGAGCGAGGAGGAAAGGGGCGAGCGAAGGG